ATATATTATGCATATGCATACATCCACACATACATACATACATACATACCTACCTACATGCATACATACATACAGTATATATAAATAAGTATACATTTAAATATCTTCATTCTGTCCATGATTTCGTTTGAGGCTCGGCCCCAATCTCAGTATCGAGAGAGACAGCGAGAGCGACATCCCAACCAAAAAACTGCGCGCATCCAAATTAACTCCTCTCATTCGCGATTGAAGGTTGTTGTTCATATGGACCCCGTAGTCGCCCGCAGCGGCACGCAATAAATATTTGAGATTCAAAGATAGGGATTATTATTACCTATAAATCATTTCGTATAAGGCTCTCATTCTTTTTGGAGTTACACGCAAATGATTGCAATGATCTCTCCATTGACTTCGGTAGATACATATCTATCGATGCGCATCATCATCTTCCCCTTACTAAAATTTAACGAAAAATTAACCCGAAGGTCTTGTGACTTCTTCCCTTTTCCGTTGCTGCCGTTGAAACCGTGGCATCAGGTATCTTACAATCAAAGGTCTAAGAGCTCCTCAAGGCTGGATCCCTGGAAAAGATGACCTTGCAATCGAAATCGGATGAACTCTGGCACAACACCCGCAGGGTTCTTGTGTCCTGATGAAATCTCAGCCAGAAGCTTGTGGAACCAAATCATCTTAGAAGCATAGTCTATCTCACTTTGCTCCAAGACGGTTCCCACAGCCTCTCTCAATTTCGAATCTTCGATGTTTGGCACATACTTGACGAAGCCATTTCTTCCCAGGACTTTCATGTCCCTCAATGCATCCCACAGGCGTCGGCACTGTCGCTCAGTCCATCCGTGATGACCAGCAGCACTGTAGATGCATGAAGGCTCCAAGAGACCAAGAAATTTGGCAAGTTCAGGGCTCTCACTTCGCGGATAATCACAGCAGCCATGGAAAAGCTTCAGCACAGCTCGATGATGTGCCCCTGGAAGCTTTGGATAGCCGCGAGGACACACACACATACTTTTCCCGCCATTTACGTGGCAGAGTTGCGTTGGGAAGTCCTCTGCTTGTGCCGCCCTCTGCGGTGCTTGCTTGCTCAGACATCGCGTCTCCCGCAAGACGTGGCCAGCTTCCCAACCTGAAAGCAGGATGACCGACTGATTGGTGCATGCTTCAAGCAAGGCATAGACATCCACAGGCCGCACGGCATGTGCTCTCTCCAAGGGTCCGCAATCAGCATCCACGACTTCAACGCTGGACAGGAAATTGTCTGTGGCAAAGACATGTGGCATCTGTCTGAGATCTCGCAGCTGGGGTAAAGGCGTGCCACGTCGTTCCAGCTCATCTGCTGTGATTGGGAAAAGGCGGGGACATCCAAGGATTCCACCGAGGCAGCTTGCGACAAACCCTGGTTGTAAAGCACGGCTCCACTCCCACTGCTTCTCCAAAAGTCGTTTGTGAGCTTGAAGGACTGGAGGACAAACTTCAGCTTCCATTTCGATTTCAACCTCTCTTTCGCGTTCTTTTTCCTGTTCCCGTTCTCTTTCCTGTTCCTCATCCATGGAGGTAGCAAGCACATCCTCTGAGCATAGAAGCTGCTGTCGATGCAGGTATGACAACTGATCCTCGATGATGATGTTGGCACTCTCTTCCCACTGACGTACTTCTTGCTCAGAGAGGTCTGCACTGTTCAAGATCCGTTGCGGGCTTTCCTTTGCCCGCCTGGGAATCTCTTCCGCGCTGGGACGTGCAGCCAGCGATTGGCAATACGAAGCCAGCTGAAACTCTTCTGGTTCCCTGCAGAGCTTCGCCAATGTCCTACACTCAGCCCCGAAGCCACTCGACACATGTCGCAAGAAAGGCACGCGAACTGCAAAGGCGGCACCTTGCAAAGCCCAGTGCACAATGGCGGATTTCAACTCCTCAGCTGTCCTTGCTGTGACATAAGCGAGAACCAAGCCTAAACTTGGGACCGATCTTGGCACACCTTGCTGTCCAGGCTGTCCAGCTTCCACTGCCAGTTGCCTTCCAGCTTCAGTGTCCACAAAAAGAATCACTTTTTGCCCCAAGCCAAGCGAACGCATTCGCATGCAGGATTGGACCAGCCTGTCCTTGGTGGTCTTCTTGCAGATGGTGACTGCTCCAACTGCTGCTGGTGCGAATCGCAAATCCGTTCCTCTTGTGTGCTTGTCGTCCAGGTAAGTGAAGCACTCGTGGGCAGGTTGCAGTGGGCTTTTGGCCAAAGGCGTATCCTTCCCATTTCTGTCTAGCACCAAGACCTGGTTGTCGTCATCAAAGTAAATGGCAGCGCGGAACCGGGCACACAGGCCCAGCACAGCTTGTGCAACTTGACGATTTGACATCCCAGTGAGAAAAGCACCGCAATCGATCAGCACAGAGACTTCCGGAGTATCTGCCGGCGACAGGATCTCCTCCAAAATCTTCAGCGGCTCCTTTTCCTCGACCTGTCTCACGGCAGATGGGCCGCCCATCTCAGGATCACACAGGCTCCGCAAGGCCCGGCCATCCGTATGTTTCAGCCATTCATCTTCATATTGCTGCACTCCCAGGGGCAGCAACTGCCGGTTGTCGGCAGTTCCGGAGAAGCCCCTCAGGCGTCCGAATGCCAAATCCCACGCGCTGGCTGATACCTGCCATAGGGGTCGCCAGCTTGCTGGAGGAATTCAATAGAAAAATAGCACGTTCCGAAACCCTGCCCTACATATCCTACATCAACACTGGCACATATGGCGTGGCATGACCGTAGTGTAACGCCTCATCAACTGCAACCCCTGCCTGCCTTGAAGGGAAACTGACGGGTCTCCTTTGGGAAAACGAACTGCTCCAAGAGCGTCTCGATAACTTGCAGATTCTTGCACAGCTTTGGCCAAAGACTGTTGATCATGTCGTCGTCAAAGGTCAAACCTTCCACGCTGCGTGGAATTTTCAGCCTCTTGGCAACAGCTTTTTCCACAGCTTCAGTGCGCAAATCATCCGGGCTGGCGGCAGCGTGCAGCCACAGTCGGTATTGACGAGCCTTGTGCGCAAGAGGCAAGTCCTTCAGCCATTGGACAACCCGAGCAAAGGAGGCTTTGGTCAAGCCATCCTCAACGTAGGCACGCAACGTCAAAGTAATGGCCAAATCCGGGTGGCCAAACTCCGTCCTTTCGCTGGGGGCATCCTTGAAGCGGAAAGGTATGGCCATCTCACATCGCCAAGTGGTGCGGTCCACCCCGAACTCTACGCGGTGTCTCTTGTGCAGCGCAGAACGCAAGATGTCACCCGCGAAAAGTCCTCTGGCAGTGAGGGCAGCGTCCGCCAAAGACGGATTGCTGTCATACTCCTTAAGGGACTCAAGGATTGCTTCCAATTCCTCATCAGACAGACTTGGGTCAAGGATGAAGCTGCGGAGTCGGTCACCTGAGGCAGGCATGAGACATGCCAAGATTGGGGGTAAGTTCAACGCGCTTCGCGCGGTTCTACTCAGGGCAGAAGTACGCTGGCCCATGTGGTGACGGGCCCCTCATGGTTACTGTTAAACATCTGTGAACTTACTTTTCGACCCCCCTTTCTCTCAGCTTGGTGAAGGACCGCGAAATGCTCAATCAGACATGACGTGCTTCCTGAGATTTAGGAGCACCTGCTGCATACAATGTTTTCTGCAATTCAGGGATCCCTGACAACTGCCTCTCGAGCTCCTTGCGGTGACAAGCTGCTGCCGAGGTACGAGCCTTCAACGGCAGATTCCGTATTCCACCCAACTTCTCCTGCCTTTCTGTGAAGGATAAGCCCTCGGACAGCAAACCTTCGCACAGACATTGCGATAGCTCGGCCCATGCATCCTCATTTCCTCGGCTGATCGATCAAAGCCGACAGAAAGCAAGCAACTTATGCTAGCGGAGATCCCCAAACGGTGCAAGACCACAAAACATGAGGGCCGTCCTTCGCGATTCCAAATGCGAGCAGTCCAACTTTTCCGAGGCACCGAAAACCCGCAGAGGATTGCCCTTTGTGGCTCGAAATGCGAACAGTCGAGTGTGTGATTTTCGCCCCCCAAAATGCGACCAGCTCTCGAGCGAAAACGTCGCGAAAACTTTCAGGCACATGCTGAGCGATCTAAGCCCCAGTTGTAACGCCTTTTGGTTTGGGAATCAACCAACACTTTGGGTTCAGCTCACCCGCGAAGTTTTTGGCTCCGGCAAGACCAGCCAGCAATCAGGGCTCGATGCATCTCCACGAAGCGCAAGCGAGGGAACTCTGCTCCGGTCAACTCTTCACAGGAATTCTCAGTCATCTCAACCAAATTCCTGGAAGAAAGGTCCAAGAGCTTCTTCTTCACCTCCCCATCATTCTTCCTGGAGGTCTTGAATGATCTTGGGGGCATGACAAGCAAGGGAATCCACACGATCAAAGAGGTTTAGAACCCAAGTCCAGCCACAATCAATGCACACACCGGCTTTACTGCAGAAGTCTACTTCACTCAGGATGCAGAGTCAGCTGGCTGAAACAATCAAATCCCTAAACCCTAAACCCTAAACCCTAAACCCTAAACCCTAAACCCAACCCTAAACCCCAAACCCTAAACCCTAAACCCAAACCCTAAAAATCATGGTCTCAGGACAGGGCAGTAAGCGGAAAATCGCAAATGGCACTTTCCAGCGGAGATCCCCGCCATCCAACGCCTGCACAAAGCGATCCACTCATGCTTTGCGCTGCGATGATGCGACGCAGTTACTCTGATCGAAAATACTTCAGCAACAAAAAAACACAATAAAGTACGTAAAGAGAAAAAGGGGAACTGGCATTGCCAAGTCTTGAAAACCCTCGCCTGGCGGGCGCCAAGTGTATAGATCTGTTCGTTCTGCAACCGTAGTGCTTCGTCAACTTCATCAAAGAAGTCCACCTACAAGTTCTCAAAACTTTGGTGAGCGGCGACGCATCGGATCGTGAAACCACACAGGCTGTGGTGAGGACAATTCATCAAAATTCAACGAGATCCCTGGTATGCGGACTACACGGTAAAAAAAAAACAGACTGATGGCGTCTGAGGCACGACAGAATGAAGGCCCTCATTGAAAACTCCTCAAGCAGCCAGCTTGTCACGAGCCAAAAACAACTGCCACACCAGCTCTTACAACACAAACACCCAAAAAATTACAAATGAATAGGGCTGCGAAGGATCTTGCAAAGCCAGATGCCAGTTTGGTCGAAGTTCTTCCCAGACAGCACTCACGGAGCTTCAGCTGCAGGCTTCTTGTCGACTCTTCTGTCATGAGCAGAATGCCACCCATCTTCCTGGCATCAACCGGCACATGTGCAAGACCTTGGGATGCTCCCCCCTTATACTAAGAGTCCGGACTGGTTAGTATAAGGGGAACATCCCAAGCAAGATTCATAGCTTCAACGAAATACTGGCATTTCAGGAGTGGCTGGCCTGAGCTGCAGCAAGAGAGGTGAGAACTGGAGGACACAACTTGGCTTAGAGACACCGACTGACAGCAAGAACAGCCTTCCAAAGCATCCTAAGGTGACTATCCTATCGGTGTAGGTTCAGGGTTTAGAGAGTTTAGGGTTTAGGGTTTAGGGTTTAGGGTTTAGGGTTTAGGGTTTAGGGTTTAGGGCTCAGAGCCCCGCAATCCACAATTCCAAATTTGAGATCATCCAATTTCAGCAAGAACCCATGAACACGAGGGTCCTGCACTCTCGGAGCTGATCCATGAGAGCGCCGATGGAATTCACAGTGATGGCTTTGGTGCGGTCAAACGGCACCACATAGATCCTCCCCGACATCTGTCATCATTGTGGGTATGGATAAGTAACAAAGTGTTTGTGGGCAAATCAAAACCACAACGAAACACAAAACCATGAGCTGCGCGCATAGACTGCCTCCTGCCCAGCATGCCGCCAAGCACGTTTCGAAAGTGATCAATGGCAGCATCCAAGAGGGATCCCAAAACCACTACCTCAAAGAAAGAAGATACGGCAGATAGAGTGCCATGTGCTGCAATGCTCTGCCAGAAGACTCTGGAACAATGGCAGAAGACCAAACGAGCATGAGCTGAAAGAAGGTCAAAGTGGCTTGGCCGTTTTGATACAGCCAGGTTGCCCTGACTAACTGCTCGCCATCTGCGACGGCTGCGCAAAGCAAAGGCCTCAATCAATTCCACAGGTGTTTCCTTTGCAGCTTAAGCAGTGCAGGTCAGCAGCGACTACCGATCCAGTCTCGCACTAAGCCACATGATTCATCCAATCTTGTATCTGGCCACGGCAAGACTAAGGGGCGCACAAGATAACCTTGCTCTTGCCCTCGCCCATGTTTAACTGGAGGACTTTCTGGTCGAAACCCGGTGACATCATATCGGTCGCAACATGTAGCTGAACAGGTCGGCATACCAAGCGCTGCTCCCACTCGAACTGAAGCCATTCATCTCGCATTTTGGGGCCTGTGGACATCTCCAAAAGGTCTGCGACCTGCCTCTGCAAGGTGGCGCTGACTTCACCATTCAATTCCTGGGCAATGCGGCATAAAGACGTGGCCAAGCCCTGAAGCTGCACCAACTCCCTCATGGCATTCTTCAGCTCTGCTGGGATCTGGCTCTGAGGGGTCTGAACCGTCCAACGAGGGAACGAACCAAACGTCCGATCCTCAAAGAATGGATTCAGGGCTCTGAGATCTGGCAGCAGACCCGGTGGAGCAGCCAGCAACGCAACCAGCCTGGCTCGTTGTGCTGTCCCTGCAGCACATGTCACCTGCAAGGCTTTGAAGGCTTGCCCCCTGGCATCTTCCGGTAGGAAATCTGAAACTGCAATCAACACCTGCCTCCAACTCTGCAGAAGGATTCCACGGACATTCACAGCTTCTTGGAACACCAGTTCGGCAAAGGCCCGCCGATGTGCCTCGTTCAGGACCTGCTTGGCCAAAACTTCTGTGTCCTGAGAACGTTGAAACTCCGCCTCCCAACTCTCCCGCAAGCTCCGATGCAACGAGACTCCTGGACCTTGGCAGAGCTTCTTGTCCAGCACTGAACCAAGAGGGATCTCCAACGGAAATGGCCGTCCCTCAACCCGTTGCGCGGCTGCTGGGATCGCATCACGAAGCCGCCTGGAGAGGTGAGACCGGAAAGTCTGAAAGTCAGGCACGCGAAGCTCAGGGAAGATGTGGCCCACGATGGCCTTGACAACTGGAACAACTGGAGGTTGCAGAGAAGAAGAAAAGTCCCATTGCGGGCAACTTCTCTGCACCTGCTCATAAGCCTTGAAGAGACAACGAACCAACCGCTGCCTTGCCCAAATTTGAGCATTGTTCTCCAATTTGTGCATCAAGGTCTCTTGAACATCGCGTCGGAAACGAACTTGCTCCAAAGCCAAGTTTAGCTTTTGAAGTGCAGCGAAAACACCCGCAGACTTCGTCAAATGGACCAAATCGAATTTAACCTGGGAGTCCACCACCGGAGCAGCACTGTCGTCTTGAACCCATTCAGCAAGTTTGGAAGAAACGTGTTGCCACGCATCAACCACCGCATGGATTTCGTCCGTAGAGGCTGGCCGATGAGGACTGGCAGTTTTGATTAACTGCCAAACCTTGTCTTCTTGAATCTGTTGATGGTCCGCCCAGTCATCACCATCCCAGGCCTCAAACCAACTGTCTAGCTCCAACAGCACGTGTTGAGCGCTTTGCTTCATCTGAGCCTCTAGGATTCTTCTGGGCCGGGAACTCACTGAGAAAGCCGCCCTCCTCTTAACATGGGCTTCGCATGAATCACGGTTCATGCTCTTCTCTTTCATGATGCCCTCTATGAATTTGGGCTGCCCCACTTTGCTGGATGCTCCAGTGGCTGGGACTCTGGCTCTTCCGCGGGCCATATCACGTTGCTGCCGTTTAAGCACCTCCAACTCCTGCTGGAGCTTCTCTTGCTCAGCTTTGTACTGCTGATCGACGCACTCCACAGCTTGATCTTCATACATCTTATTCAACCTCCACCTCTTTAGGACCTCCTCTTCGATGCCCTTGGACCTGACACTTTTCATTGTTTTCTTCCTGTCTGCCAAGCTGCGCTTGTCTGCACTCAGCTGATTCAGATCCTTCTGATACTTAGCCCTTTCGACTTCATTCTCACGCTGTTCTTGAGCCCGATCCTCCGCCGCCCTCTCGAGATTTGTCTTCCTCGCTTGCAAATCATCAAGCCTACGCTGACATGACCGTAAGCGGCCTTCGTGCTCCCTCCGTTCATCTTCTCTGCCAAGTCGATACCGCACATCGAACACCCAGGATCGCAGCAGGCCCTCAGATGATCGAAAATCATCGTCGTGGCCTTCTCCCTTCTATGTCTCGCATTCCTTGGTTGGGCAGGTAGGCTTCAAGCAGCAAAAGCTTGGAGTGAGTGGGGAAATCAATCGGACAGCTGTTGCAAGCTGTGCTCGTAGCCATGTTTTGATTCAGTGATGCAAGTATGATATCATAGATCCCAAAAACGATGTCCAGAGAAGCATAGAGTCGAGTGGGTAGGCAGCAAACATACTGACCAAGTGGAAATATGGCAACTCGCAGAATGAATGAGGGTCCAGTTTGCTCCTGGTGCTCAGCATCTTCGCTGATGTTGTCAGATGTACTACAGCAATGATACTGTTATCTTTCCTTGCTGGTCGTGACAATGGATGCGTTAGTTTCACTGACACGAAATTTTCCATTGTTTTCTTCGACCTTTCCTTCTTGCCAATGACTCACTGGGCCCCAAGCGAGGAGCAACCGAAATGACTGGGATAAAATGAAAGCCCCCAACTCCAACATCATTCTGGGCCCGATGTTCATGTCACCTCTTACTCTTGTCCGCTCTTCTACTTGACATCTCTGTCTCTTCGCAACTGTTGTCCTTGATCACACCCTGTGCTGACTGTGGACATCACTTTCTCTCGATATCTCCCTCTTGACAGCTTCACAGACCACCTCGAGCAATTGGATGGTGCAAAGCACTCCACTGCGTGGCAGACCTTCAGCACATGTCTTGTGAGGCGAGGCCTGTACTGAAAAACGCAGTTTGTCTTTCACCGGCTATCCTTCAAAAACGCGTTTCAGAAGAGGCTTCCCGCCAAAAATGAACTTGAAGTTTCCATCGCGACAGCGAGTTTTGAGAGAAGGTGCAATTGGGGTAATCTGCAAACAGACAGTCAGACAGTCGGACGGTCAGACAGTCAGATAGTCAGATGGTCAGACAGTCAGACACTCAGACTGCCAGACACAGTTCGGCAACAAACTTGAATGAGCGTTCTGCAGAGTTGTACGAGCACTGAAACACGCAGTGCATCGGATTGGACTAGCACAAAAAGACTGTTGCACTACATTCAAATGCATGTGAGCGACAATCGTGACCTCACGCACTTCTCGGTTGACATGCTCTTGATCAGAGCGAACTTGCCCTTGCTTGGCATCAATTTCATTGGCCTGCCTCTTGAGAGACAAATCCCATTCTGCCAGTCGCACTTCCTCTTGCTTAAACCTCTGAAGCTCGCGCTGCTCAAACTTCTTGAGCTCCTGCCAGCGTTGACTGTCTGCTTTGCTGGGCCTCACTTCTTCTTCTCTTCGGCACTCTTCTTCAGTCCGTGCTACCAGGCATTGGAAAGAGCGGAGGTATTTTTCGACATCATCAGGTGTTGCCGATGAGGTCCGAGGCAACACAGCCCTCCGGGCCCATGCCGGCAACCGAGGAAAATCAGAAGGAAAGTAGGACATGGCGCAGGCAAGAGCCACGTGCCAATGAAACTTGGACTGTTCCCCTTTCTTGGCAGCAAGTACGGATGCAAACCCTAATCTCGCCCGAAGAATTCGGCAGCTGTCTGCATCTTCGTGAGCTATCCTCCACAGACATGCCAGCTCGCTCTCGGGAGGTAAGGGAAGCTGCTGTGGCCATCCCACCCATGTCAGAGCAGTGTCATCCGGGCAGGAACCACATGCCTGCATTGACATGTTCACCTTGTTGCTCACCCACGTCTGAAGTCCCTCTTTGATTGCTTTGGGTGGAGGGAACTTCTTCCAAGAGACGGTGGCATGATCAGCAAATTGGAAAGCTGCTGCTCCAGACCTGCCCGTGATTTCCCTGAACTCGGGGGCGTAGCCAAATGCCTGGACTTCTTCGCCTGCATTCAGCAACCGCCATTCCTGCCAGGAATTTCAGCATAACGTCTCTTGGACACGACAATGAAACACACACCTGCACATGCTTTGCTGCTTCACAATGCTCAGCTCGGGTTGCGTCCTCACCCAAGCCACGGCGTGCAGCTGCTCGGATCCAATATTCAGCAGGATTGCCTGGTTTGCTGCTCCTTGAGAAAGCCAATGCAAGCTGGATGCACGGGCATGCGTGAACTCTGTAGTCTTGAAACTCATGTTCGCACCACCTTGCGTTTGGGAGAGATTGCCTCATGCAATCTTCAAAAGGTCAAAGAAGCTGCTACGGCTGCCAGGGAACACCTTCCAGGATGTCTGACTTGATGAATCCTCTGCATCGAATGGCCTGCAACCCCCAGGGCGGAAGGTTCGAGAACCAAGCGAAAACACGGAAGAGATCAATCGCAAATCGGGGCACTACATGCACTACCCAGTTCACACAAAATGGTGTTCGCAGGTTCCGCCTCGGACGTTCCTCTCCTTGTGCGAGGTCGGCCAATCTCCACTTCAACTCCACTGAGGCTTCCTTTTCCGCTGCTTTGGAAAGCCTCAACAAGGACATGACAAGCCCAACATGTCACCAGCGCAGTTTGATACGCATCCCCATGGACACAGTTTTTCCTGAGGCCAGCGCCAGTGCAACCACGTCCTTTCTTCCTGTACAGCGAGAGCGAGGCGGAGCAACCCTGAAAATTTCAAGTCTATTTCCACTAAATCCATCTGCCCTACAATGAACTACATGAACTACCGCCGGCCTTGTCGAAGGGCTCATTCTGCCAGCACTGCCGCAGCAGCTCCAATGCTTTCCAGCGCGCAGGCCGACCAAAGAGAGGCTCCGGCTCAGCCCCGGCGCAAGCCCAAAGCAAGGAAGCGACTTGCAGTCTGCCGACTGTCGTTGCTGCTTCCAGCTGGCCATCCTCCCAATGGACCTTGAAGAGTGAGAACTTTCGCCTGGAGCCTTTGAACTGCAAAGAACAACGCAGAAAATCTTCCTTTCCAGTGAAGCTGATGGTGCCCTCGGGTAGAACGACCAATCCAGGGGGCTTTGCCCAGGTCTCGGATTCCAGAAGCATTGGCCGCGCTTCTTCAAGCAGCAAGAAGCAACGAAAGCCACGCAACATGTCGAGCTTTTGCTTTGAAGCCAACTGATGCCCCGGAAAATCTGCAGACTTCAGAGTACGACCGCTGTCGCACAGAAGAAACGTTAGACCCAGCCGAAGGAGATGCACTTCTGCAAGCTGGCCTTGAGAAGGCTCCCCAAGGTACTCCACGAATTCCGGCGGTTCTATGAAGGCCAAAGCCTTCCCGAGATGAGCCAGTCCAGGTTCTGAGGGAAGAAACACTTGCATCCTCGAGCCTTTTGCATGTTTCGATGCGTAGATCAATCGTCCCTGTCTGCCTGACACTTCAATGCTGTACTCACGACCATCAGAGTCGGTTTTTGGCCGGAACCAAATCTTGCTTTCACACTTGCAGAACCAATGAGTGTAGTTCTCAACTAGTGCTGTCCTGAGTCCGACTTGGGCCATGTGAGTCTTGGACAGCAGTGTGAGGACCATCTCTGGTTGAGATTGCACACTCTTCTCCTGGACCAACAGCTCTCCGCTCGGCAGCAATCCGAACACAAACGCTTTGCTGTTCACTGGCCCTGCTTCATAGAGCTCACCTTGTTTTGCAAGAGGCCATGCGAAGAAGGAGACATCACCGAAGATTGCCTTAAACTGGGGATGGTTCCGAATTTCACGAGGCAAACATCCGACAGGCTTGCCGTTGAACAACAAGAAACCACGTGAAGGATGGATTGCAACAACACCATCTGTGGTATCTGCCAGTCGCCACATTTCCAAAGGCGAGTCGGCCGGAGGCTGCCATGTGGATGGGCATGTGGTCAGCTGTCCGTGCAAAAACTCGGCGAGCAATTCATCAAGCGCGCTGCTGTGTGTAAGTTGGTGCTCATGCAAGAAACAGATCTCATTAACTGTGGCCATGTCGGTCTCGTCCAAGAGGACTCCACCGATTCCAAAGCAGTTTTCCAGGTCAATGCGGGCCTTACCAAGTTCCACAGCTTCTTCTGGACGCAGGCCATCTGCTGGTACAAGCCGGAAAGACTGTATGTAGCCAAGCAAGATTTTGGCTAAGCGTTTCCGAACTTCTTCAGCTTCTGGAGCCTGCTGGTTTTGAGTACGAAACCGCTCACGTGCCTCTTGAGCCCATGATTTCAAAACCTGACGGCAGATTTGCATGGCCTGGTCTGCTGGATGGCAACCGCTTTCGTCTGCGAACTGCGCCAGGTAACTGCAGCAAATCATCAAAGATGTCAAGGCCTCTATGGATCCACGCTCAGTTTGGAGAGCCTGGAACTGCTCAGACAAAGCCAACACACTTGGCCAATCCGCAAGTTCCAAGAGGTCTTCTTTGCGGCACCGACCTAGGAAACATGACGCAGCATCTGCGTCGCCCATTCGGTACAGCACCTGTTGGAACACTGCCTTCACCCGGGGATCTTCAGTGGGAAGCTCTCCCTGCTGCAGAGCCACTAGAAGCCTGCGAAGGTGCAGGTTTGGCACGCTGGCCACAAAACCCAAACACCGGAACTGCGCCTTGCCCATGTGCTTGAAAGGCGAGCGCAAATGCATCTGGGCCAATATGTCATTCTCGGATGGCAAGCCCAAAATCCATTCTTCACTCACCTCACTGTCTTCTGGAAATTCCATCCGGTAGAGCTCTGGCGGAGAATCCCGCTCCGGCCAACTCGTTTCAAATGGATTCAGCAGAACACCTTGCCAACGCCATAACACATGCAAACCTTTCAACTCCTTGTCCGGGTGGTAGAAACCAATGTTCTGCTTCACCGGACAATTGTAGTTTTCCTGCTGCTTTCCATCGCGGTAGGTGGGACTGCAGTCACCAAACAGCTCGAAGCGTGGAGCGGCCTGAAGGTTTGGAAGCCTCATCGTGGTGAACTCCAGGAAGTGGCTGTGCCACGAGAAGGCTGGATGAGGCGCGACTTCGCAGGGATGGCCGGCATCAAAATCCAACAAGTGGCGAGCCAAGCAAAAGGAAGAACCCAGAAGCGACAACTCTTCGGGAAGATGGATGGAAAAGATAATCGCCTTGGCTTCTGCCTCAAACTCGGACATCGTGGGAAGCGGGTCCACCTTCGCAGGCAATGAGCGTTGCAGCGAGCGTTCCTCGACTTTCCGCCTGCTTTTTGATGCGCTCTGCTCCTGGGCAAGTTTTGTCCGCTGCGCTTGCGACGTCTTGCGACGCTTCCAAGGCTGTTGACCTGAAGCCTGAAGAAGCTGCTTGTCATCCTGTTCTATGGCACCCGCAAGGCTTCTGGCCCATTCATCCTTTTGGTCAGATCGGTCTTGCCACTCCATCTGTGCATGCTGCGCCTTCTCCTGTGCTTCTGTCCACGCTTTGCTCACCTCTGGCAAATGTGATGTGGCAGCTGCAGCCAATGCCGAGAAGTCTCCCAAGCCTTCCTTCCCTGGCAGAAGCAGCTGATGCTTGAGGTCGGACATGCCTTCCAGGTAGGATTCCACCCTGCGCCCCAATGTCATCCATCTCTTCTCTGGAATCAGCAAGTGCTCCAAAGCATGTGCTGCGAGCGGAGGAGCGAAGTCTTTCAAAACGTGTCCAAAAGCATCGCCTCTATGCTTGCGGAGCACCGCATCCTGCAAACATGCCATGGTCCAAGACACCAATACGATGCGAGAATGTCGCAAAGCTGTCCATGGCTGATTCGGCTTGTCACACACTGCCACATAAGCCTCCAGAGCCCCAGAAAGCCTGAAACACAGAGCAGTTGCCTCACCTGAAGTGGAAATGCAAGCCAAGGGCCAATCGAGAAGATCATCCCCTGACATCGCGATGTCTAAGATCTTCTCTTCAAACTGCAAAACGACACGAAAGTGATTCTCATCACCGGCTGCTTCCATCCATGACTTTACTGCAGCCAACCACTGCAACACGTCATTATCCATCACACATGGACACTGGGCCGACTGAGGGCAAAGGCTGGCACCTGGCCTTTCGGAGCTTGTTGGTGCCATGAGGGCAGTGTCGACCTCATGTAGAAAGTCAGAAATGGATGCTGAAAGCCGAATGGTTCCCTCCATGCTTCTATGCTGTTGGAGGTGCTGGAGTGCCGAGTGCAAATCTGAAGAGCCATCCCTTGACTCCTGTAGCAAAGCCAGCACGCCTTCCTTGGACATCTTGGATCGAAGAAGCTCAAGGTCGGATGTCACCATCTTGGCAAAGCCGTGGTTGCCAGGGTGCTCCAGGTCTCGTCTTGATGCGATTTTGCAAAGCTTCCGGCCAACACCCTGCATGGCTTCTAGCAAGCGATCATAGAGTCCTTCCATATTGAAGCAATGGGTCGGATGACTTTGCGCAAACCTCTCCAGGTGCAACTTCCCATGGCTTAAGGAAGATGGAAGCACCTGATATCCCCATAGCCTGCTGGCTGCCACGACACGCTTTGCATCTGCCTGCTGAAGAAATTCGTACAAACAGCCAAGCACAGGTTCGGGCAAGGAGGCCAAGCCATTTGGGTTCTGAAAATAGCCTGTGAAGTGGCGAAGGGTGCACAGCTGGAAAAACACCATCAAGCGCTTGTAGACAACATATGGAAGTCCAAGTGCATGCACCACCAAGGCATGAAGACCAAAGCGCACATGCCCATAGGGGCTGTTTTCACTCATCTTTCGGTGTGATATCACGTCGCAAGGCCGACCTTTCACATATGGCAGCACGAAGTCGTAGAAGAAGCTTTCGTCCTCTGCCTTGTGGGCTGCATTGATACGGTTCGGTGTTGCCGGTGGGTAGGATTTTGTTGCTAGGAGACTGAGCCACTCCACCACCTCTGGCAAAAGGAACGTTGATTTTTGAATCCATCTGGCTGGATGGCACGGCACCTGCGCAAAGCGTCGCATGTCCACCGGTTCGCTCAACCCACCACCTTCCAGAACTTTCCTTCCGAAACTGCCAAACTTGCATGTCCCTCTCACGCTGGCCACAACTATGCCCAACTCGTCCGGTTCTTTGGCAGGGTAAACAAAAACCAGGGCATCAAACACCATCGGCAAAATCAAAATTCGTCCAGAAGTCACAGTCCTTGGCGAGAGCACACTCCACAGCTTCTCTAACTTCGTATCTCCAAGACAAATTCTGCATCACAAACTATGATCCATAAAACTCCATCAAGCTCATTT